CTCATGGAAGCAAAATACAACAGGTGGAGTCCCATTCTTTGTGAAGCTATTAATTAATTTAAGAAACAACTTACTATTTCTAAGCATCTAGCTTATTCTAATTAAGTGCTACATGTTTGCTTGTATTTTTAATAGTTAATATTACAATTGAGTTAAAGTGCTGAAAACCTCTCTTTCTCTCTCTGAAAACCTCTTCCTTGGGTCTTATTTTGGGCCAGTCGGCCGCCGCCTTCGACTATGGCGGTTGGCTGACCCAGTTTCTTTCTTGTGTTTGTTCGTTAGTTTCCTTTTAATAAACTTGATTCCCCCATTATCTTCCCACCTTGGAATGCTTTGTGGGCTACTGTAAGGAGAGTTCATTAGGGAATGCTTGGAACAAGGGTCATTTTAGAGGAGGAGGTCGGTGTTGGATCGGCTAGAGGACGTCCAAATTTGGTTAAGATCTTCATTCGTGCGCTCTTTCACGAGTAGGAGCTTGAGGGGTGAACTATGGTTCAGATTTATGGAGTAGTATCGATGCTTTGTTTTGGGGAAAAAATGAAGTTTTCGGACATGGGTGTTGAACTTGATCCAGATCTGTCTGGTTTTCATTCGAGCGCTCCTCTTCGAGTGGGAGTTTGAGGGGTGATCTTCGTCCAGATGTATGGAGGTGTCTCAGTGGTTGATCGGTGATTGGATCGTCATCTTACGAGTTTTTGTAGCAGGTGTGTTAATGGAGGTTTGATCAGAATTGTAACGGATTCCAGTTTTGCTTCACATAGTGTGGTAGATTACTAGTAGGAGTGTGCAGTAGGCGTGGGTCTTGGCATGGTATAGTGTTGTCAGGCGTGGGTCTTGTAGCAGAGGTTGATCAGAACTATTACCATGGAGGTTGTAGGAGTAATGTTAGGCTGCGTGGGTGAGCTTGCTGCTATAGTGGCAAAAGTGGGATTGGAAAATCAATGGTTGGAGGTGTGTTCCGGCCATAGTTTTTTCGGTCAAGGGAGTTTTAGGGAGAGTGATTTTTTCGGTGGCTTGTGATCATGGAGCTATTGGCTATGGAGGTTTCCGGCCATAGAACATCCTCGGTCGGATCAGCGAAGCGTGCAGCAGGCGTGGGTCTTGGCATGATATAGTGTTGTCAGGCGTGGGTCTTGTAGCAGCCTAGGTGAAGCAGGTGAGTTGAAAAGTTTTGGTTGGATGGGCATTGGGAGTGAAGCCTAGGTGAAAAGATTTTAGTTTCAAAATTAGTAGGTGGGTGTTGGGAGTTGTAGCAGCCTAGGTGAATAGTTTTAGTTTCAAAAATAGTGATGCAGCTTGGATTTGGTGTGGAGTTTTGGCTTTGGTTTTGGGTTTTTGGGCTGATTTTGTGAGAATTCATGTATTTTATTTTTTAGTTAAGTTCTTCTTAACTGTTTTTGTTAAAAAAAAAAAATACATAAAAAAATAAAAAATAAAAAATCGTGAGGCCAATGGGTTGGTTATATGAATGTGAGTAGCAGTAGTAGGGGTATTTTGTACTTTCCGAATCTCTCTCGATGCATGTCATCTTTCTGTACCTTTAATTTCATGTTGTTAATGAAATTTTTCTTTACTGATAAAAAAAAAAAAAAAAAGTGCTACATGTTTATTTTGCTTGGAGAATTTTGTAGGTGGTTGGTGATATTACTTTATAATGCACATTAATTTTTCACTTAATTAAGAATATTCTACTCATTGTCGACTCATGGTGGCTTGGAAGAAATTAATCGAGAATGCACATTGCCGTTAAAGATTGATTATGTAAGATAATTAACTTCCTACTTCACTTGCCACAGATTTGTGGAATAAAAATGGTCTTGATCAATGTTGCATGTTATGCAACACATCCAAGTTGCCATACAACTTAAAATTTTTAGAGACTCAAAATGAATGCAACTTTCAAGCGACTATTAGATTCTCAGTTTCGTTTCTTGTCCCATTCTTTTAGTACTGTTCTGACATTAAAATTTAAATTCAAAACTAACTTTTAAAAGTTTCTTAATTACCAAAAAAAAAAAAAAATGGTATTGAATACAAATTATGGCTATGTGACAGTACTAATAGAGCGAGATGAAGAATAGGGACAAAAAATACGAACAGAGAATCTAAGGCCTCTTTCAAGTATGTCTGAAACCTTGCAAATATTGCGAGAACTAGTATAAAATTATTTCACAGGCAGAAGGAAGCTCAAAAATATTATTAATGGGGTTCTCTAATTTGGAATCTTGCCTAATTTTTAAATAACTACAAACCCATAGATCACCCCTTTTTGTGTTAATGGGTTCCAAGTTCCAACAAAACATTCTTTTAAATCCCACTTACGGGGAAGAATACCGACCATAAGCCACAATAATTTTGATTTTATTATTATTTCTTGTATAGTTACGGATGCCTATTTATTTATTTATTAAAATTGTTAGGTTTATATATTCTATTTAATAATTTAAATGTGTATAGCCACGGGACCATTTTCACTGTAGATATTAAGGAAAAAGTGTAAGAACACAAAAATTAATCACTGAATCAGATATAATTCTTTCATATGTGATAGATTTCAAAGAGTTATTTATTTGATTCTACGATCGATTTCTATATAAAATGAAAAAGAAGAAAAGAATTTTAACACTGGAATAAGCGAAAAAGTAAACAAAAACATGTGAGATGCAATTGGTTTTGTGATGTGGTGCAAGTGAAATGTTGCGGAGATGCAAGTGAGACTTGTATCTCTTCATATTTGTGTAATTTTTTTTTTTCCCTCCTGAGATTTAATTCTCCCAAAAATAAAAATAATATTAAAGTTCAGGCAAATGAAGGCTGTAGAGCATGATGGCAGGAGTGATGACAAGAGATCAAAGCTCTGGCCATCAATATCAAACTCATGAGAAGACAAAATTAGGATCTCTCCTCTTGCCCATCCCCCCACTTTAATGGATAGGATGGCAATAGACCTTTTGCTTCTCTCTCCTTCATCACCCTCTCTCTCATCATTAGTTCATTCATTTCCATTTTGGATGAACCTCAATGAACTCTCTCTCAAACATATCTCTATATTTATGAGAGAGAGAGAGAGAGAGAGAGAGAGAGGAGGGTCACTAGGAGCCCATTCAAGGGAGGAGTGGGCTTGGACAGGACAGGCATGAACAGGAAAGAACTACTAGCTGGCCTTAGATCTTTTTGAAAGGGTGGGTTTTATTCAGATAACCCATCTTATCCACAAGGGAGTATCAGTGCCATATTGCTGCATGCTTTGTCCGTACGCGTAGTAGTGTAGAGAGAGAGAGAGAGAGAGAGAGAGATAGAGATCCTCAGAAACCTCTTCTTCTCTGGCACATGCTGTTTGGAGCTTTTGCAAATTGCTTGCATGCATGGCTGCTCTGACCTTTTAAAACCTTACGAAACCATTTTCATGCACACAAAGATTTCCCAAATCAGTGTTAGTGTGTGCTCAATAACCTTAAAAGAGTCTCAAACAAATTTGAACTACCAAAAAGATATATAATCACATTATGATCACATATGAAAGGAAAGAAAAAACAAATGTAAGAGTATTAATACATATATAATCTTGTTATTATTTGATTGATTTATTTATTTATTTATTATTACTTAGACATAAAAATAGTAAGTCTCACATTAATAAATAAATATACGTCTTATCATATTTATTATTTTGTATATAAGAGAATTGGATAAAAAATTTATTTATATATAACACATTTCATCATTCTTTCTTTGTTTTGTTTTGTTATGTTTCATTGAATCAAATCTTTGGGTGTCCTTGAGAGTATAATGCTTATGCTTGTCACTTTAATATTGTGTTTGGTTGAGGGATTTGAGGAGGGATTTGGAAAAGGAAATGGAAAAAGTAGGTGAAATATAAATAAAACATGCCTAAATTTCACATAGTTTCACACACCTTTTTTCATCATTCTTTCTTTGTTTTGTTTTGTTATGTTTCATTGAATCAAATCTTTGGGTGTCCTTGAGAGTATAATGCTTATGCTTGTCACTTTAAGTATATGAACATTGAAGCAATTAAGTTGAAGTTTAAACTCGAGTTAAAACAAACAAAAATAATAACTCTAAGAATTAAAATTAAAAAAAAAATTATTATGTGATAAAAAATTATTTTAAATGCAACCTAGACCATTCTCAAGATAAATTTGAGTCAAATGGAGTGGATCTAAATTAATACCATATATATGGATTATATGGAGACAATTTTATTATTCCATATAAACTGGATAAAGATTGATTGGTCCACTTGAAGATGAACACGTGAGATCACCACGTTGTTAGTAAGCAAAGCTTCTGGTTGGCCAATTCTCACGTGACAACCCATTGTCCCTCCCTCCCACCAATTTTGATTCACTTTATTTATATATATATATATATAAATCAAAAAAATCAAGAATTACGATCAAAAAAAAAAAAGCAATCAAGAATATGGTGACATGTCATCTCCCCCTTCACTCTCTCATTCCATGTCATCAAGCAGTCAAGGGATACAGTGTCACGTCATTAAAAAAATATAGCCACATTAGCAAAATGGCCTCATCACTAGAAATTGTCAAGTGGATTGGGAATACTAGTTGTCAATTCATCCAATTATAAATATTTGAGAGTTTATTTTTATTTTGCTTTATCTAAAAAATAATGATTGATTATGTGATGTTCTGAAAATATTAAATAATTTCTCGCTTTAAATAGTTGTCCTAAGAAAATGGAGGAATATGAAAACACACATGTGAAAACCCAATTTTCATTACCAAATCACCATTTCACTATTAGAACATTGACAACCCAAACAGCCCCTTAATTCATCGACTTCTTAAGCGAAGCACAAACTTCACTTAAATACATTAGAAAGACATCACAAAAATGAGACCAAAAATAAAAATTGAATTGAACCCTTGAACACAAACTGAAAAAAAAAAGAAAAAAAGAACAAAACAAACACAACTTAACACCGGTAATGGACTACTTCAAGAAGGGTAGAATTATGGAAATAACACACATGAAACGAAATTTTCATTACGAAAATACCATGTAATTTACAGAACATTGACAACCAAACAGTCCCTTAACTCATACCCTGGGCACAAACTTAACATAAAGTTATAAACATATTGCAAAGACATCAAAAAAAAATGAGAAAAAACTGAATCGGACCCTTGAACACAAACTTGAAAATGAAAATAAACAACACAAACACGACTTAACAAACCGGTTAATCGACATTTATGGACTGCTACATATCCCTAACTTCAAATATGTTGCGGTTCTTGACGACAATATCGTACATGTGCATGGGCTTGAACTTGTTGAAGTCCTTGGGGAGAGAGATGAGGTGAACTGTGGACCTTTTGTGGAATTGAAGGAGGTCCGGGTCATCATAGTATCGCTCCCAACCGAGCAAAGAGAGCATTCTTTCAAGAACTCCATAGGAGGTGATGACTTCATTGGTAGGGGTGTGGATTAGCACTTTGCGCCTTATGTTCGCCTGGTTGGACTCAGCTCCTGGGTTCTCCACTAGTCGTACCACACCGTTCTTAAACACCCAAACACCAGACATTTTTGTCGATGAGAGAAAGAGATAAAAGAGATGGAGATGGAGTTGATGGGAGGGGTGAGTTGGGTATATATATAGGAGAGATGGGAAATAAATGCAATAAATTTATTTTATGGGGCTTGGGTTTGTAGAGCATGTTTGGGTGTACGTGTAGCTACGGTGGGGCCAGTATTGGGGAAGTCTAAGGATACATACCGGGTCAAGGTGTTTGGGGACACACTTAGCCCATGTGGGCATAATCGGATTGAGGGGAATCCAAATTCCTTTTCTAAGTCTTTAATTAACCCCACACTGTAGGAATCTTTGCTCCAAGAAAATGTTTTTTTAGGATTTGAGAGTTTTCTGGATAGAGGATAAACGGAAAATGACCTTTTATTTATTTTTATTACAATTGTAGTTATCAAATTGTACTCTACTATATCTGATTGGATGTTGATGGTTCTTACAGTGATTATCAAGATCCATTGTGTACAATATCGAATTCAAATTCTCTTTGTTTCATAAATGGAACAAGATTTTTTACTTCATAATAAATGCGTGCTTATGAAAACGATTATGCTACGTAACTCGAATGTCGCGGCTCGAAACGCGACTCGACACCAAAACGACGTCGTTTTGGTGTAGATTTTGTTTTTTATTTTTTATTTTTTTTCCCTGGTTTTACAGAATGAAGAAGAAGAAGGAAGAAGAAGAAGAAGAAGAAGGGAGAAGAAGAGAAGGGAGGAGGAGGAGGAGGAGGAGGAGGGAGGGGAGGGGGCCATAAAAACCGGTTTGAGGATGAGGGGAGGCTGGGCAGACGACGGTGGTGCTGCGACATCAGCGGGGCTGCGACGGAGGAGGAAGCAGAGGCGGCGGCGGAAGCTACGACGACGGCGGGAGCTGCGACGACGGCGGGGCGGGGAGCTGCGATGCCGACCTTCTTCCTCTCCCTCCCTTCTCTTTCTCCTCTCCCTCTCTTTCTCTACCTCTCCCTCTCCCTCTCCCTCTCTTCCTCTCTAGCCATTTTCGAGCCTGGTAGCTTCGAGCTACCGGGCATTTTCCGTTATGAAAATTACATTAATACATTTTTATTTTAAATTTAAATCAGTTAAATAAAGCTTTGAAACTTACAATTACGGGTTTACAAACCAAGTATAAGAATTGAGAAAAAGACATGTACGTCTGTCAGAGCAACATTTTCCTTTTTGACCTTGATATATGGATTCAATTGTGTTGTACTCCCCGTGTACCTCTTAATTTTTGTATTAATATTTTTTTTGTAATTAAAAAAAAGTGAAAAAAGAAAATTATTGGGTAATTTCAGATTGCTTACGCAATGTTTACAACAAATGATAAAATAAAAAAATATACTATTAAAAATTATGATTGCGTTTGGTAGAATTTTTTAAATATGATTTGAAAATAGAGTTGTATTTTGAGTTTGTGAGTTTTGGAATTATGATTTGAGCGTTGAAAATTTGTTTGGTGAAAAGGTTTTGAATTGAGTTGAAAATTTTTGATGTGGCATATGATATTTGATACAAAAACTTACAACTCATAACTAAACACACAACTCAAAATTCTATTAAAACTCATAAAATAATTTAAAAATTTGGGAAATATTTTTTATTATGGGGTTATTTGGGGTGTTCTAAATAAGTGCACTTTTTGACTTTTTATGAAATGTTGGATGAGTTTGAAGTGATGTGATAGAGAGGTGGTATGACTTAAATAAGATGATGTGACTTAAATATGATAGTGATTTTTTGACTTTTTGACTTTTTTTGGTTATGTCAAACCAAGCCTAAATATATAAAAATTAACACGTGTCAATTGCAAAAAAAAAAAAAAATTGCACTGTTCCGGTCAACTGGCCGGACGACCGGTGGAACGTTCGGTGGGACGACCGGTAGCCCAAATTTTTCCCGCCTCCGACTGCGTTTTCAAAAGTAAGTGTGGAATTAATTTTTGAAAATCCTAAACAAACATTTCAAATGAAGCTCTAAAACTAACTTTCCATACCTTCACCAAATAGAGCCGATATTACTCGAAAAGTTATGAGTGAAAAATTACCAAAACACCATATGAGCGAAAATCATTTTACTCTAAAAAGATATTAAAACACCATATAAGTGAAAATGATGTGATATAAAATTTGTAAGGAAAATAATATATAAATTCACTTTTTATATTCATTTTATAAGTTTAATTATGTATAAGTGATATGATTGGTTGATGATTAAAAAAATATGAGAAAAAATATGACGTTTAATATCCTAATTGATTATCACATCATTAAATTTAAAAAATAAATTTAATTTTTGTCTTAAATAGTAATGCTTAATTTCTAAACTATTGATAGGGCTGCAAACGAACCAAACTGTTCATGAACAAGCTCGACTCGGCTCGGCTCGGCTCATCTCGTTTAGTAAACGAGTCGAGCTCGACTTCGCATGAGCTCAGCTTGTTTATCTTTATTTAAATTATATAATAAATATATTATTTATATATTAAATAATATGTATATACATTATTTATATATTAAAAATATATATATAAATAATAATATAAATAATTTTTTTATATATTAAATAATATAAATAATATTTTTATTTAAATAATATAAATAATATTAAAAAAAATTTATCGAGTAACTGAGCCGAACTCGAGTTTCATTAAAATTAACGAGCCGAACCGAACTCGAGCCCAATTTCTTATCAAACTAATTTCGGGATCAATAAACGAGCTCGATAAGTAAACAAGCTGAGCTCGAACTCAGCAAAGCTCGGCTCAACTCGATTCATTTGCAGTCCTATTTGTAAGTATATTTCTCTATGTTTTGTGTTTTAACATATGTTTAGTATTTGGGCAAATTATATTGGCGGTCCCTATATTTTCTTGTGTCATTGTGATCCATGAACTTTTAATTGACTCAATTTTAAACCTTAATTTGAGATTTTGTTTCAATTTAGTTTAATTAATAATATTTTTAGTGTTTGTTAAGAAAATTCATCACTAAATTAGTTGATATCAACTAACTGAATTTAGTAAATTTATAATTTTACTCTTAAAAATATGGCACGTGACATTTATGTGCGTATTTTCTATATAAAAAAAAAATAATAAAAAAACCTCATGATTTATTATTTTTTATAATGATTCCATGATTTCTTGTGCACTCTTTCTGTAACCAATTCATTCTCCTACCCAAAAACCCTAACCATCATATATTATACTTTTCCCAAGCCATTCATGTCTACCTTGCCCTATAGATATTACATTCATGGAATAATGAAACTCATTGTTTTTTAACTTTCTTTAGGAGACAATTTAGAGGTTAGTTTATGTTTAATCTATTATATTCTTTAAATAGACTATTTTATCTTTTAGGTACACCATTTATCCTTCTTCTTTGTTTTTTTAAATCTATGACCAATTTTTTTAGTCATTTCTCCCTCATCTCTACCAACCATTATCTATTTTTTGTTAGTTAATATTGTTTTACTAGAATTTTTGTACTAAAATAGTGTGATAGGTCATTTGTATAATAAAAAATATGTCACTCATTATAAAATGATATATCGAAATCCAAACAAAATCATTATTAATAAGTTTTTGTATTGATTTTATATTTGTATATCATTATTTTTTTTTTAAAAAAAAAATTTACTTTAATATGTTTTTTTGATATCATGATATGTGTTAATAGACAATTGGTGCACAACATTACTTCATAGGTATAAAATAGTTTTTCAAATCTATAAAAAGAAAATATTAATTTTAATCAATTTTTTTCAAAATTATTAAAGGTATTAGTCAATTATTTAATTATTTATCTTTAATATGTGAGATTGATGTGACTTAATATGATAGTGATTTTTTGACTTTTTGACTTTTTTTGGTTATGTCAAACCAAGCCTAAATATATAAAAATTAACAGTGTCAATTGCAAAAAAAAAAAAAAATTGCACTGTTCGGTCAACTGGCCGGACGACCGGTGGAACGTTCGGTGGGACGACCGATAGCCCAAATTTTTCCGCCTCCGACCGCGTTTCAAAAGTGAGTGTGGAATTAATTTTTGAAAATCCTAAACAAACATTTCAAATGAAGCTCTAAAAACTAACTTTCCAGACCTTCACAAATAGAGCCGATATTACTCGAAAAGTTATGAGTGAAAAATTTACCAAAACACCATATGAGTGAAATTATTTTACTCTAAAAAGATATTAAAACACCATATAAGTGAAAATGATGTGAATATAAAATTTGTAAGGAAAATAATATATAAATTCACTTTTTTATATTCATTTTATAAGTTTAATTATGTATAAGTGATATGATTGGTTGAATGATTAAAAAAATATGAGAAAAAATATGACGTTTAATATCCAATTGATTATCACATCATTAAATTTAAAAAATAAATTTAATTTTTATCTTAAATAGTAATGCTTAATTTCTAAAAACTATTGATAGGGCTGCAAACGAACCAAACCGTTCATGAACAAGCTCGACTCGGCTCGGCTCGGCTCATCTCGTTTAGTAAAACGAGTCGAGCTCGACCTCGCATGAGCTCAGCTTGTTTATCTTTATTTAAATTATATAATATATATATTAAATAATATGTATATACATTATTTATATATTAAAAATATATATATAAATAATAATATAAATAATTTTTTTATATTAAATAATATAAAATATATTAAAAAAATTATCGAGTCGAGTTGAGCTGAGCCGAGCCGAGCTTCATTAAAATTAACGAGCCGAGCTCGAGCCGAGCTTCATTAAAATTAACGAGCCGAGTCGAGCTGAGCTTCATTAAAATTAACGAGCCAAGCCGAGCTCGAGCCCAGTTCCTTATTGAGCCGAGCTCGAGCTCAATAAACGAGCTCGATAAGTAAATGAGCCGAGCTTGAGCTCAGCAAAGCTCTGCTCAGTTCGATTCGTTTGCAACCCTATGAATAATTATTCGGAAATGAAAGGCAAAAAAAAAGATAAGGATTGAAAGGTGATGACAAAGTTTACTAAAAATGGAAAGGGGGGAAGATGCTTACATGGGGGGTAGGG